CCCGACAGCCCATAAAGGACAGTGGGCTATGTCCGTGTCTGCTCTGCATAAGTGGAGCAGACATGGACCTGTCATCCGCTTGCTCAGCAGGGATCAGCGGGCAGATCCCCCGCTGGGCAAGCAGATCCATCCTGTGTGAAAGGGGCCTTAGAGGACACCCTCAGGAATGACCCAGTTGGGTGTGGCGCTCTCTCTGGGCCCTTCCACATCATCTGGACCTGCTGTCTCAAGAACCAGTGTACCATTCTGCTTCATGATTGCTGACTTTTAACAGCATGTTGATGGTGGCTTTAATCAGAAAGCCCTGTCAGTGGTCCTGTGAATTTTGGCCCTTTCTTTTTACTCTTTTTGGGATTCTTGGGACATGCCATTATTTACAGTGTTGTCCACTCATCATGGGATTGCTTTTGGGACCTTCCATGATGTACTTGCAAGAAAATGATTTTACAGATATGGAAAATTTTTATTAAAGGCTTCCTTTAAAACCTTTGACTAATGCAAACTTAGATACTATAAAAGATTAATTTCCACTTAGTACGTGGGAAAAGGGGGGTTTTAGAATCAAGCACATGCACACAATTGAACACATTCATTTCTTAAGTAGGCATGAAGTATAACAATCATCAAGATTTGTGGTTTTCATAATCCACATTTTAATTTTCTATTAGAATCCATTTATGTCAATGAAAATGCATTTAGTGTGGTTTGTTTTTGTTGGATTACACAAACATTCCTTTTTCTAATTATTGGATAAACTGAAAACTGCTCCTATTTTACTGCTCCCTCTCTTTGGAATGTCAACAAAGGGAGTGCTGCTGATCTGCATGTTATGAGACACCTGTGCTAAAGTTTCATGACGATTAACCCTTTTTATTCACGCATATATGCTATTACATTGTGAAAGGTCAGGAGATAAGTAAACGGGTACTGTGGTTCTGTAACCAATATGCCAGAGTTTGTTTGAAAGCTTTTCTTGTATGTATTTATTATTTAGCAAGCATTGAGACACTGTTATTGATGATAAAATTCTTTGTGTTAGGACACTTTAGTTCACTCATTATCTGCAACTTTTTTTTTAGAATATCACACAGTATTAATGATGATAGACAAATAATAGGATGACAGTAAGATGATTGATGTATGATGTGTGACCCCTTAAACAACCAGTTCTTGGACATGAACAGATATCCCATCAGCTTCCTCATAAGTAAATCTGCCAGAAACCAGAGCTCCAAAGCAAGGACGAGTGCAAAACACCTATGTTAAAAAAAAATAAAACAAAAACCACTTTGCTCTTTTTAACAGAAGAAAGGTAAATCTAGCAGCACACTAACCAAAACTTAGGGTTCCTTTTATAAAGCAGCAGTATGTTCTTGCCATGGCCGTACTGCTGCTTGACTTGACCCTGTCATAGCACAGTCTGTAAAAGAACAACTATACTTACCTTTGCGACTCCTTGACCACTGCAGGTATTCCTCACTTCCAGGTGTTTTGTCTGGGTATTTCCTCTCGCTGGCTTGTATTTCAATACAGGTTGTATTTGCTGGTGGAAGGAACTACAGCATACAACCAGGACTTTGGAATACCTGTAGCGGCTAGGTAGCAGTAAAGCACCAGAGTTTGAAGACACGCAGGCTACCAAATAGGTAAGTATCACAGTTTTTCTTTTACAGGCTGTGTTTCCTTTACAAATGACCCTGCAACAACAAGGTCACTGCAAGCAGGCATATGGCGGCTGTAAGGCCATACCTCTGCTTTTTAAAAGGAGCCCTAAGTTTTATTATGTGTCCTGCTGGATTTTCCTCTCTACTGTAGAATAAATCTCTTACTATATTTCAAGGTAATCCAAAATGTTAATATTGACATCCTAAAGTTAACCTGTCATGAGAAGTAAAGAGAGGTCTCGCTTATCACCTCCTTCATAAAATTGCTAGGTGACGGAGCAGTCACTGACCCCAGAACAAATACATAGATTAGGAAAGCTATACTCGTTCTGTGTCAGTGACTCAGCATACTGAAACAAGAGTGTCAACATCACAGCCAGGCAAAGAGTATTTTCAGAAAGAGAGGTGAGCAATGGCATCATCCATTGTTCTCTGATGATAAGTTTCCTTTAAAGGAACAATGAGCTTCAGGCTAGTGAGAGTTTGTTACTAGCGCTGCAGATCATACACCCCCATCTTTCTTGAGACTATCATTACATCACTGAAAAATACTTCCAGAGCCCCTTGGCTGGAGTTAGTCTAGGTCTAAAGTTACTCTGGGACTTCAAATTAACCACATCTGTACAATGCAACCCTTGTCTTCAAAGCATACAAATCCTCCTCACAAGTACAAGAAATATGAATCTATGCAAACATGATGAATGAAAACTATCTAGTTTGCACACAATAAAACATAAATTATGCTCTGGGTTATTAAAATTGGTATCCTGTTTTTTTATTTTTGTTTCAGGAAAATGTGAATGCAAGGAACAAACATTAGGAAACCCAAAAGTTTTCTGTGGAATGAAATACTCCTATGGTGAGTACAGGGAAGAAAAACATTCCTGTGTGTCCTAACCTGGATTGGTTAGATATATTGAAGTGAAAGGTGACATATTTGCCTTTGTCACCAGTATAATGTCAATATCACTGAGCATTCGTTCATGTTAAAAATACACCTTGTACAAAACAACTATTTATAGTGATGCAGTAATAAGCAAGGGATAATGTTTCTGGATACATAGAAAATAGGGGTTTTGTCTGGATTAGTAACAGACGCCAGAGGCTGCGAAAGCTGAACGATTATGACTCAATGAATAACTAACAGCACAGCACCAATCTGTTTTCCTCTGGGAAACCAATCCCACCAGCCCTGTATACCCCTGAAGTATAGTAACATTCAGAAATGTACAAGATTTGGTACACTTTAAATTACTTAAGACAAACCTCATATTTAACTTAGTTGTTTTTTTTTATTAATAAATGCCTTATAATATCTTAGGGAACATTTTTAAAATGGGCTTATAAGCTGATTTGTAGACCATTTGACCTACATCAGCTGTTAATTTATTGTCCACGCTTGTTTTCACTATACATAGACTTCATCCACTGCTCACATGTGGTGGTTTCTTCGATTTCTGTTCACCTGCAGTGCGCATTCATCAATTTTTGCTCTCCTGCAAATGTGTAGTCATTGATTTCTGTTTACCTACTATGTGTTACTTTCTGCTGGGTCATTCTTTCCATGATCATCTTGAGCTGGACCAAGCCAAGTGTCATAGAGATCAAAGTATATGAATCCATCTTGAATAGAATTCATAAAAATGTCTGCTATCACACCATAACCTAGCCATGCTTCAAAGCAGATCAGATCATTGACTCTACATCACTTCACTTTAAAGACTACCCACTAGAAAACAACACTTTCATGGGGGTTTAACACATCATAAATGTCATAAGCGCATTAATGAGCATGGCTTCCTTCTTCATAATCAACACACATGTGAATGTGTAGGAAAAAAAGGGTGAGCTGTTCCTATAAAAATCAATAACTCAAATATGCACAGAGAATGGTAATCTCAAAAATAACATAACATTAGTGCACAAATGCTTGCAACCAATTGTGATAATCATACAACATATGAAAAATATAAGTCTATTCTACACAGTATACTGTGATCTATGATGCCACACACTAATTTACTTGCAGGTGTCCATAAAATGTGATCATTCTTCCAAACACAACATAAACTTGCTTGTATAAGTGCTGCAAATATCTATCTCTAAGTGCAGTGCCTGCTTACCTTAATATTAGACCTAAAAGAAATAGGTCAGTATCCTTCTGCGGCTCTTTGCAGCCACTTTAACCTCCCCCCTGGCGGTATTCCCGAGTGTAGCTCGGTGGTTAACTTTCAGTACCAAAAGCAGTGTCCCCGAGCTACACTCGGGATTACCCTGCAGCACTGCTCAGGGATTCCCTCCAGCACTTACCTTGTCCTTCGCTCCCGCGATGTTCCCCCTGCAGTGTCCCATGCCGGCATCCGTCTTCCAGGTTCTGTTCCCTGTGAGCGTCGGGACAAAGGGAGGATGGAAGCGGCGGGAAATTAAAAAATTTTAAAAGTGACATTCACTCAATACACTAAATTCCCATAGTATAACATTACTGTATCAAACCATTTCACATACATTTTGTCCCGAGTGCTTTGTCCTGTGCCCTGCCTGCATTTTTACTGTTCTTTCTGCCTGGAAACTTAGAAAAGTCCATGGCGTCCAAAAAGCGTCCCTTTAGGTCAAAAGCGGTTTTAGACCAGCTAGAAAACAGCGATAGTAAATTAGAACCACTTGCAGAATTGAGTGATAGTGATTTGTGGGGAAATTCGTCATCAGACACTGAAAACGATTTTGCGACTAAGCTCAGTGATGTGCGAACTTGGTGCTCTATTTCAAATTTCAGTGTTTTTGGTTTGATTACATTATTGAATTAAATTTATTATTATTTTTTATGACTATTTATTATATTATAATTTATGATTTAATGTTTCTTATTTTATAATACCCGGGATGTTTACTAGACTCTAAAAAAACGACATAGTTCCATGCAAAAAAAGTACTGCTTTGAGCACAGAAATACTGACATAATCAGACCCCAAGGGAGGTTAAAATGCGGTCCCTCTAAGGCCCCATGTACACGGGACACTTCTGAACTATGGAAACTGACTGCTGGAAAACGTAGGTTAAAAAATGCTTTTGCATAATGCGTTTATGTGCATTTGCGTTTAGAAGCGTTTTTTAATGATAAGCACAGGAGATCCTCCCAAATGCCCAGAATGCACTGAAAAGTGGTAAATTAGTAACTATTTCAGACTGTTTTAGAGAAATACAGAGAGTAGAAGCAGGGACAGCCGTATGTGTTGAAATTAGCTTAGGTGTGAGTTGCTCATTAACATTTCTTTTGTTTCCAAGGGTGGGAAAGGTGGCTAGTGGAGTGAGTCATCAAGGCCACCTGGCAGGGGGTCTTCATGAGGAATATGAGGTGTGAATGGTCATTAAGATATCTTTTGTTTCCAAGGGTGGGAGAGGTCTGAGGTGTGAATCGGTCATTACAATGTGTGACAAGTTTGGTAGGAACATCCTGTTTTCAGTGTTTTGTCCATCTGAGTACCTTGAAAACGCTTTGCATGCATTTTTCATGATGAAAAAAAAGGCTCTGGGCAGCAGAAGAGTTAAAAAAAATTTTCAGTCGCAAATGCTTATAAACGCAATTTGCTGCGTTTAACAGCGTTTACAAGCATTTTGCGTTTGAAACACTGATAATATCGACTGCTGAACGCAAGTTTTCTGCGTTCAAAAATATGACTAATCTCAAATGCCTGTAAACGATTGTAAATGAAGATGTGTGCATGGACACATAGGAAAACATTAGGGAGAGTTCAGGGGCTGCTGAAAAATCAGCTCAACAGTTCCTAAATGTATTTTATCTGCTGCAGTGTACATGAGCCCTAATAGACTTCACCTTGCTGGTTCCAGTGTGAATCAAGCTCAAAAAAAGGGAATAGCAAGCATAGCGCACCCTGTGTATTGAATAAAAAACTTTTTATTCCACTACATATGTACTCACAGTGGTATAATAAAATACAGCATTGAATTCAACTGAAACATGGAGTTTTCTCACCAAACTTCCGAATAGCACATGTCAGGAAATGACATCAACGGCTCCTCCCAACTAGTTTCATCACTAATCACGTGACTTTTTGGGAAGTTGGGTGGCATCATTTCCTGACATGCTATTCGGAAGTTTGGTGAGAAAACTCCATGTTTCAGTTGGATTCAGTGCTGTATTTTATTATAACATTGAGAGTACATATGTAGCGGAATACATGTTTTTTTATTCAATACACAGGGTGTGCAATTGGTTGCAAGTATTTGTGCAATAATGTTGTTTTTAAGCTTAACATTCTCTGTGCATATTTGATTTATTGATTTTTAAAGGAACAGCGCACCATTTTTTCTATACATTACATGTTTTTGTCAAAAGTGAATGAGTACACTGATTTGATCGCAGCTGCAGTTCCACATACATATCACAGTACACTATTGTGTTTTATATAGTTATTTTTTTGGTTGGATATCACAGTTTTCAGTAGTTATATTACTTTTCTGGGGAGTTTTATACACATAGCAGCACATCATTTTTTCTTTTTTATTTGATACACTTGTGAATGAGCACTAGCAGATGCCTCTGCTGAGCACAATCAGGGAGCTTGATTTTTATATTTAGGAAAATAAAATTACGCTGGGAAAAATACGCCACAACCATCATAGTTTGTTAAATGTCTCAATAAAGGTTGCTGTAGTAGTGTTTTAGGCTCTAGGAACCTGTATTTGCTTTTTGCACATCTAATTTGTGTATATCTTGACTGGTGGTTATCAGTCCTGGAATTTAGGAAAATGAACAACCTCCGATCAGTTGCTTAGTACCTTATGTTGCATTTCAGCTGGCTAATAAAATAGTATATGTGCTTTGCATTCGTGCAATGTGCGCATTAAACTCCCTTTACATTTGTTAAAGCTGTCCCCACCTGTTTCCTTTCTGGGAGTGGATCAGGAGATAAGTTATGCCCAACAAAGACAGGGCGCCCTGCAGAGAAAGTTCAAGGGGTCTTGTGTCGGTGAAAAATTATGATTATGTGTTGCTCTAGCTTCCTGAGCGTGATAGTGATGATATTTAATCTTCCTTAACGATAAGGGGTGTAAGCAAAGAACAAATGAATAAATCTTACTGTAGCACACAGGTCCTTCACCCTTTCATCACTCTGTTTATGGAGGAGGAATATGAGCTTTATTACAAGCACAATTCATCACCTAACAACACCCAGAGCCTTTAATAAGAAAGAGCGAACTGACTTGTACTCTGCCTATAAACACAACATCTTGCATCTTTTCTCTTAATCTCTGATCAGCCCATTCCAGTCATAAAGCTATCATTTGATCACATTTAGAAAAACCAGAGGAAATACAAGTGCCAGTATAGCCAAAAAAAGGCAGCCTTTAGCAAGTAAATATATAAAGCACTAATGATGTGCAAGCTACTGTAATTCACAACAGTCATTTAGATTTCAGATTACTGTGGTCAGATAAGCTAAAAGGTGATTTTTTGATTTGTTGTCAAAAGTTCTAGTTTTTTTTTAAATTACAGTTGTTTTTTTTACCTGCTTCAATGTTGTATAATTGTGACCTCTCATTAAAATTAATATGTAGCGCAGTCCAGGAAAAATTAATGTAGCCCAAGTCCAGGAAAAAGAAAAAAAATTACCCTTGCAGTGCTGCTCTCTCTGCACTGCAAGGGTTAAAAGCTCGATATGCCTAGGGGTTAATAAACACACCACTTTACTTACCTTACACCCCAGTTCCTTCAGACCCTGTAGTGTATGCTGAGGAGGCTGGAGTGCAGCTGGAGCCGGTTATAGCTGCGAGGGAGTCTGCTGGAGCAAGGAATAAAGCTGGCTATACATGATTCTTTTTTTTTTTTTTCATTCGACCAGTGAGTTGAACAAACAAAAAAATGAGCCGATTTGCACACTTTGAATGTGTGGATGGGGTAATCTTTTCCGCTGTGTATTTGTATTCTGACAGCCAGGGAGCTGTAGCCAGATGCACTGATTGTTCAGGAAAAACCCAACAGGCTAGTTGTACGCAACTCAATCAAAATTCAGCCAATCACTGTTGAATTTTAATCCATGTATGGACAACTTAAGGTGTTTCTCCTTGATCCTCTGCCCCTAGACTAAACAAAATTTACCACTGCAAGGGTGCATTTTTATTAATTTTTCATGAATTGGACTTTAAATATAAGTACATCTGCATTTGCAATTTTCTTTTAGTCCCACAAATGTTTGTTCATCCTTCCAGTGAAGTCCACCTAATGCAGCTTTCTGTAATGTTGTGGCAACAATGCTGCACTGCTCCTGAATTCAGAGCAGTGTTACCACTCTCATGGTGGCTGTGCCTGCTTGCATTACAGTGGAAAAAGAGAATATTGTGGCATGGCTATTGGCATTGCCACGCCCACTGCTTTCTGAATGGGCAGAACTAATTCTGTTGCTGAAACCCTTCCACTGTGAGCTGCAGTGTCTAGGATGGGAAGCATGTGAGATGCAAATAAAGGAGGAAAAGTAAAGGATTTTTTTTCACTTTTTGAAGCTTGTGTATCACATAGTAACTTGATTTGGGACTTTCTTAAACTGTTATACAGTTTAATTTAGTTGTACTTTAAATGTGTGCACTAGTAGGGATTTTCATTAATGTAATTTCCTGTGTCTTATTTCTTATTATTTATTTATTATTTTTCTTAGGATTTATATAGCGCCAACAGTTTGCTCAGCGCATTACAATATAACGGCAGACAATACAGCAACAATACAGTACAAGAGGGAGCTCCTTGGAGCTTACAATCTAGTATTCTTAAATTATTTTTACATTTGGATACGTGTTTTTGACTGATTCTTAGCAAAATAGTTTTCCTAACCTGTTTATTAAATATTTCTTCTCTGACAGTGCTGAAAATAAAGATACTGTCAGCCCATGATAGGGGCTCTCATGCTGAAGTGAATGTGAAGATTAAAAAAGTTTTGAAAATGACAAAGTTAAAGATCCTAAAAGGAAAGAGGACCCTGTATCCAGAATCATGGACGAACCGTGGCTGCACATGTCCTATACTAAATCCAGGTAAAGTATCTCTAAACACGTTTATTACATGTATTTCTGAAAGGATAATGGTATCTTTGGTTGATTGAAGAAAATGGGAAGAGCGCTGTTCGGTATAGCAATTATTTTTTTTTACATTTTGTTGGAGCAATAATTAAGCAATCAATTTGGGTCTTTTACAACCCCACTTTTGCCTTAGTTTAAAAAAAAAAAAAGAATGAGTAACTGAATAATGAAATGAATAAATGATCATCACAAATTCCAACCCACCATCAATTTTCCATTACTGCATTGGGTAATTTAAAACTGGTTTATCATTGTTGTCATGATACTGATGGCACATGTAAGACCCCGTGCACACTGAGCATGTAGCCCCAGTATATGCGGCTCCAAAGTTTAGGTGCTTTGCAGATGGTATAGGTGCAGCACCGACCAGTCCAGCTGGCAGCAACTTTTTAAACTCTATGAAAGGCCGACTGCTGCTGCAGCTGGATTGGGCTGGACATCGCACCGAATGCGTCTAACACAGTATGCGCTTAGGAACAAATGTCCAGTACGGAGACTTCTTTGTGACTAGATGGTGCACCTGTACCTTCCACCGGCACCTAAACACTGAAGCCTCCTGCACCAGGGCTGAACACTGTGGGAGGAATGTGGAACAGCCAGAAATTGGAGCAGCTAGATCTGGAGCAGCTGTCCATGGCAGCCAAGCAGCCCCTAGCTTTTTCAAAGCTTAACTGAACAACCTCAAGACAGAAGCTCATTAAAGTGGACTGAAATTTTTTTCCCCTCATGCATTCTATGCATGAAGGTAAAAATCTTCAGTGTGCAGTTTTCCCCAAGCCCCCCCCCCATCCTCCCCTGAGCCCAATCCCAGTCCACCGATGTACACGAGAGCAGAAACTCTCCCATTGCTTTCAGTCACAGCCAGTGAGGGTGGGGCGGGCCGAGCCGAGGTTTGTGTTTATAGACACACAGTGGTGGCTCAGGAGTGAACATACACAAGTGCCCCCAGTGCAAGCAGTTTGCTCTGGGATCACTCAGCGTTGGGGAGGGGTCTAGAACACCAGCAGGGGACCTGAGAAGAGGAGGATTGGGGCTGCAGGTAGGTATGATGTGTGTCATTTAAAAAAAAACAGCCCCTTTCAATTAGTGATTCAGTTACACAGATTCAGCAGCATGCATGTCATGACTGTTGGGTCTGCTGGATTTCTATTACTCTACTACACCTGCTAGTAAATTATTTGCCATGTAAAAACAGTGATTGATCAGGTTAGTGATGTCTGACTGCTATTATTTTGAACACAACTGTATATGCTGCTACATTTAGGTGAATGGACACTGGCCAAAAAAGCAGGAATTTCTGCCCAGATATAAACCTTCCCAGTTTCAGTGTCCTTAGGATCTAGATTGGTCACTACAGCCTAAAGGCTAAGAAGAATTGTACCCAGACCCCACATACTAAAGCAGGTATGGCCTGTAATGTCTGGCGGATGTCGCTAGATCCTGCAGGCAGGGTACAGTGTATCCTGTGATCTTGCTGGCAAGATGCTATACAGGTCTAAGGTAGTGATCCTGCTGGAGGGAATTTGACTCTGAGTCAATTGAGTCAATACTTTGTAGAACCACCTTTCGCTGCA